GTGGTCAACCGTGACTGTGGGTTTCGAAGTAACCATTCAGCCCGCATTCTCTGCATGTAACCCCTCTGACTAGGGTTGCTTGAGTAGTATCATTCCAACATAGCCATGTTATCGCATCTCGCCCATCTCCGCTTTGTTCCAGTAGCCCATTTTTCATCAAGGTGCTCTGGTTCCCCAGCACCTGACGCAGACCTTGTTTGGCCGGGCGACGTCTGAGCCGGCATGTCATTCGATTTATTGTCTCTCATCATTGTATGAGGTAGGCATTAGCGTGAAGGATCTTGCCCAAGGACCCACACTGGATGGTGTTATGTGCTCATTTTTCATTTTGCCCCAAGCGGGATTCGAACCCCCGTCTTACCAACTGAGCTATCCAGCCGCCTATATATATATATATACTGCTCAAAAAAAATAAAGGAAACACTTAAACAGCACAATGTAACACTTAAACAGCACAATGTAACGCCAAGTGTTCCCTTGGAGATTTGAACATCCTCTGAATTGTGAGACAGACGTGCTAACCAGTCGTTCACCGTCAGACGCCTGCCCTAAACACAAGTGCATACACACATACACACACATGTTTGCGCTTGGGCACAACTATATATATATATATACTGCTCAAAAAAAATAAAGGAAACACTTAAACAGCACAATGTAACACTTAAACAGCACAATGTAACGCCAAGTGTTCCCTTGGAGATTTGAACATCCTCTGAATTGTGAGACAGACGTGCTAACCAGTCGTTCACCGTCAGACGCCTGCCCTAAACACAAGTGCATACACACATACACACACATGTTTGCGCTTGGGCACAACCACTTGAGAGAACTGCTATTGTAACCATGTAATTTTGCAGGTTTTTTTTTCTGCATTTCAGTGTTATGATTTGTACTTTGTATTTTAAACATTAACAGTATCACAAAAAGTGTTCCAATACTGCTTTACAACCTTTAGATCTCTTTCAACATACATAAAGTTGAATTGACATACATTCCATGATGAACATTACTATTTATTGTTCATTGAAAATTATAAGCCAAATGGATAACTTTTCGTTTAAAAAAACCGAAAAGCTGAAGTCAAGTTAAAATTTATTTTTGTTTGTGAAAAAAAAGTGAAGAAACGAGCAATAGTAGATGATCTGATGTAATTTGCCATGTTTCACTAAGTTCTAGGATCCCAGCACAGCACACCCTGTGCAAGGGTGTTTGTGCGTGCGT